ACTTTCCTCTGTTTCTTCTTTCTTATCAACTGCTTTTTGGACATTCTGGTTTCATCAGCTTCAGTTGTCTTTCCAAAAATTTTTCTAACATTCCTGCCATCATCTTCCACCCCTGTTTATCCTTGCCTTCTAGACGGCATATCCTCTGTCTTCTCCCTTGGCCGAAGTTTTCTACAAGTGTGATGAACCAACCCTTTTCATTTCTTCTAACTTCAACAATAAATTTCTTTCCTTCTCTTATTTGTTCATTTCTCCAACCCTCAGTTTTTCTTGTAAGCATCACTCCATCCACGAATCCTTTGAACCACCCTACTACCTTTGACACCCCCCCCCCAAAAAAAAAAAAAAATTGCTTTGTTAGCCTATTTGATTTTTAGAATCATTTCTCCTCTATTTCTCGATTCCTCCAAGAGAATTTTTTGTTCTTCTCCAACTCAAGTTCTTTTTTCCAGCTCTCCACTTGAACGAAGCTCTCCATCCTCCAAGCCCCTTCTCATAGTTTTCAAGGCGCCAAGGCGAGGCTAGGTGACAGGGTGGCATCTTGTTGCCTAGTCGCCTAGGCAATGGATTTTTTTAAGTAAAAATCACATATCCTAGGGTAGTTCCCTAGGTTCCATAGCCAACTTTCTTTAATAATTATCCATAATTTTCATAAGAAAATTATAAACTTCATGTTTAAGTCTAGAAAATCAAGATATTTATGAGAAGAAAAAGAAGAAAGTAAAGAAAATTCAAAAATATAGGGGCTGAACCCCTATTTTTGTTATAGGAAAAGAAGAAAAGAAAAGAAGAGATGTGTTGATTAGGCAAAATTTTAAGTTCTCTTATTGGTTCAGATTTTGAAGTCATTGAGGATTCAATACAGCAGTTAGCAATGCTTGTGCTGATTAAACCCTAACAAATAAGAAAATAATAAAAAGAAATTAGTTTATAAACTCAAAAGTGAATATTTTTCTTTTATAATGTCTATTTTATAATTATAATCTCAAAAAAATAACAATATAAAAGTATTTTATTACATAGTATGCAAAACTGCTTGGTGACTGGGCGAGGCGAGCCTCCAAGGGCGCCTTGTCGCCTTGACAACTATGCCCCTTCTATACACAATCATCTCTTTTTGAACTGAAGGGATGTCTAAATCTCTATGGTCGTCCCTGTCCATCAACTATTTCTTCTTGTCCTTCCTTTTTAGGGTTTTAAACATAGAGATTGAAAGCGATATATATATATACATATATACGCTAGTGCTTGCTTGCCTGGGTTGGGTTTACATCACAAGTATGTTGATGGGGTCTAGATTTGGGGTGGTGGGGAACAATGCCAAATAGGTGACTAGAGTGATGATGAATAGTGGGGAAACAATGCCAAATGGGTGGTCGGAGCAGTGGATGGTGGTGGTAGTGGTGCTAAGTGAGAGAGAGAGGTTAAGATTAGGGTTTGGTTAATAGGGCTAAACCAATACAAAGGAGGTGCTAAGTGAGGGTAGTGAGAGTGAAAGGGGAGAGGATAGATACTAGGGAGATGGAGGGTGAGTGGTGAGATTGAGAGTGAGAGAGAGTAGTGAGAGTTGGAGGCAGAGAGCAGAGACGACGAGCGAGTCTCGTCATCCCCTTATTAATCTTCTAGAATCTTCCCTATCAAGGAGTCTCCCAAATACATATACAATCAAGGCTGGAAAATGATCAACAACTGTCCCACTAACCAAGATTGAGTAATGGCAAGTATTAACACATCCCATTATCCATTTACACCATCTCTCACCAAACCTAAAACTTTCCATGACCTCCAACAAGAAACTCCAATCAACTAAGCTATATGCCTTTTCCAGATCCAATTTGCAAACAAACCCTTTCTTCCCTATTCTCTTCATATCCTCTACACATTCATTGGCAATTAGCATCTGATCAATAATTTGACTTTGCCTTTAAGTTCCTTCAACGTCCAATGACACTTCAGTCCTTCCCATTTCACCCTTGGATTACTTTCCTCCCACCATTCTTTATTTCTCTCAATAAATCCACTAGAGCACAACCACATCTTTTCAAATCTAAAAGGAGTTGGGCCTCTACCCCCACATCCTCCTCAGATTTGGAAATTGGCCAATGATCTGATGTCACTCTTGGCAAGGCTCTAGAAACTAGAGTGCTCCAGTGATCCTCCCAATCAATGGTAAGGATTGGTGGGAGGAAAGTAATCCAAGGGTGAAATGGGAAGGAATAAAGTCTCATTGGAAGTTGAAGAACAGCAAATGGTCTGGCTGATGCTCTAGCCAAACAAGGATCAAATAGGAGTAAACTTTTCTGGGCAGCTTTGTAACAATGGTTGTGAATTTTGTTCAGCCTTCTGGCTTTGGAATTCTTGAGTTGTAATGTCTTGTTTTAAATTTTTTAGTGAAAGTTACTGTTTCCTATCATAACAAAAAAAAAAAAAAAAAACTGTCCAATTTGGAGCATATAGGGTCAGCCTGTAAGTTAGACCATGCAAATTTGCTATAGGAAAGAGGCAGTTCCTTAAGTGCGAAGGCATCAATGAATTGGTTAAATCTCCTCGTACTGAAAATTGTTCTCCGTCTTGGATTGTTGGTTTCTTTTAAGAATCTTATCACATTAATGTCCCCCTAGGAACCAAGGTCCATCCCACAAAACCTTAATATCTTCCAATTCTTCCTAGAGCTTATTTCTTTCCCGATATCCATTAGGCTCATAAACATTTGCCAATACCCATTCAGATCCATCTGGCACTTGCCTAAATTTGATGAAACTGTGAAGTTACCCACCAACTCTTCAATTCCAACCAAAGATTCACTATTCCACATTGTCAGAATACCTCCTGAGGCTCCCCATGTTGGGGACATTGCTCAATTTAATCCCCTGGCTATCCAAACACTTCTAGACCATCTATTGTCAAAGTTCATCACTTTTGGTTCTTGAATTAAAACAATATCCAGATTTTCCTTTTTAAGAACCTCTCTGATAATAGATCTTTTCCTCACCCTCCCTAAACCTCATAATTCCAACTCACAATCTTCATTCCTGCCACAAATTTAATCCCCCTCGACATCTCTTTTCAATCTTTCCACTTCACTCATTTTCCTTTTTCTTGCCTTGCCTCCCCTCCATATCTTTCCTTAAGTAGACTTTCATGTCAATGAATCTTGTACTTTTACACCCCATTTTTTCCATGAATTCAGCCACTGATTCACTTGGCCCAGATCCACTCTTTCTTTCTCCCTGCTCCTCATAATCACCCCCTGAATCTGTACTAAGGTTAACAGGCTTAAACCCACTCTCTTCCACCTCACAATAATTTCCTTTCTCCATTTCCTCTCTCTTCAAGTTCTCAAAGAAACTTTCAGTCATGGCCCGTATTCGTTTACTCCTAGCCTCCTCTTCTAGGATGCTCTCATCACCAATTTCAGCTTTTGCTTCCCTACATTTGGCTTAGGAACTAGCCCAGATGCTTGTACTGTTTGTATATATTGATATTTTTCTAATAAAAGCTAGAGTTATTTATCAAACAAAAAGAAGATAAAGAGAAAGAAAAGAAGGGAAAGAAGAGGAAATAGAGATGAACAGGAGATGAGACTTGCTTTTCATCCATATCTGATAATTTTGTCTTTTAGTGGTTTTGCATTAAAAATTGGCACTTTAATTAGCATTTCTTTATTTAACTTTATTGAAGTTATGCTATCATATTGTGTGGCAGCAGCCAGGGCTTTTTCAAGAGTTAATGTTGTAATTTAGAAAGAAAACTATAATTAAGGTCAGGTGATACATAGGCATTTTGGTCTGGCAATGCAAGTTGATGTCTATGTAACACTTAGGTGTCCTTTAGCCAACAAAAATAAATAAATGTATATTCTATAATGTGAAACATGACTTTCATGACTATTATGTAATTACATGATAACTACAAACTATTAAAACTACAAATCAGAATAGCAAATGATCCAACGACAACTTCTGTCTGATATTTAGAGAAGAAAGTGACAAGCATATTTGAATAAAATATGTATACACTCCATACACTTAGGATCGACTCAAAATGGGTTATACATACTCATTTTAATATAAAAGGGAGTTTTGGTCAGTCTAGGATTTGTGATGACAAGGAAGCTTTTGGGAACAATTGAGAATTATTATTAGGGTAATGTGAGAAAGAAATTATTGTTTAAGTGGGCTGACTGGCATGCCTTAGGCCAAACGACTCAACAAAAATGGTGGCTTATTTAGTGTTGACTTGATTTCAATACTACAAATTCAAATCCAGATCTTTATTCAAAAAAGAGTTAGAAATCACAGCCAATAACTATCATAGCAGCAAACAAAGTGAAGGAGAAAAGAAAATAGGGAACAACCAATAATCAAAGTAGTTGTAGCAAAAAAAAAAAAAAATCAAGGTAAGGTTTCCAAGAACGACTTCTACTCTTCCCTTTCCATAATCATGCTATTGATCTATTTGAGAAATGTTCCTGTATTCATTGATAACTAGAAATGGGGGAAAAGGAGAGAAGAATTGCTAAATAGGCACTTGATGTTGTTATGGTACTTATGGTAGAACATTGCTGGGCATTTCATCAAGTAAGATGGGAATTTTGGGGGACTTTTTTTGAGAGCCATTATGCATTGGTTGAAAATGTACAATGCCTTTTTTAATCAGTGCTTATTTGATAAATCCCATAATGGGGCACATCTCTTGTTGGAAGGGGGTATGCCTGTTTACAACTGAAGGATTAGTGCACGAAGTAGTTACCTTCTTTTAAAACATACTTTTTAGTTGGGAGTGCCCTGTTTATTCAAAAATAGTTTGTGGCCAAATCGCCATCCTTTTTTTTTCCAAAAACAGCATCACTAATTATTCTGTAAATAATATCCCAGATTCACTAGGTTATTGTTACATATTTATTTATAAAAAACACGCATGCCTTTTATCGTGATGTTTTTTCAAGCTAAATTTCCTTTAACTGATGAAGACTTGATACTTATTTTGGCTGCATGCAGGCTTGATGGCCACATACCATGCAAAGAATGAATATTGCCTTCTCTCAGATATGTGCCAAGGTTTTGAAGTGTTTACAAGCATCATTTCGCAATTGGAAGATGACAATTAAAGGCATTGATCCCCCGAAGGTTCTTCCTAGGCAACGAGATCTCAGTAATTAGCTGGTAAAATAACTCTAGTGTGATACAATTTTCTTTTCCTTTTCCGGGCGTAGGCATCTCCTGAATGGCTGCAAGTTCAGGTTTTCCCAAGGATTTACTAGTGGACCTGGTTCTCAACTTGGGAATCCAAATGAGCCTTTTAATTGGTTTTATCTGCTAGGAGTGAAGTTTTCCATTAAAGACCATGTTGTGTTCAGCAAGTTCAGTTAGTAGCTTGGTTGTCAATTTGTCATTGTGAAACTAGAGCAAGAGTTCATCTATTGTTTCAGCCAAGTTGATATTTCAGTCTGGAGTCCGGAAAGGCTTTGTGATTGTGATTATATCCCCAACTCAAATGGAATTTATCCAAATGTTGTCATGACTCAAGTATTAGACCTTTTTCTTGAAGATGCCATGCCAGTATTAATAGTCAAATAAACCTCTTTATTTATAATTTGCCTGAAGAGATATCCTAAATTTCATGTCCTTAGTCCTTACCAATAGCAATCTAAGTTTGATTGTCAGCGAACTTCACATCACAGCGAGAGAATGTTTTCAACTTTAGGATATGAGCATATTTGCTAAAATAGAAGCACTCTCCAAGTCCCCATGCTAACCGGGGCTTAGAGCCCGTTTGGGGTGCCGTGTTAATCACTTAATTGAGCTGCAGTGGCTAAGCACCGGTGTTCTGGAGAAACTACTCATGGTAGCTTCATATTTGAGCAGTGGTTTGGGTGTTGTAGATTTTTACCAAATATAGCTTCTGGAGTTCTCATGTGAAGTCCCAGCTCAGAAGTCAGAACGAGCTAGATTTTTACCAAATACAATACACTTGCACACTTTCTGGTGTTCTCATGAGAGGCCCAGCTCAGAACGCCATAAGCGGCATCCTGAAAGCCCTCCCAAAAGGACATTTATACAGTATCCCCAAAGGGAGCAAAGTTTAGCTGTTCGGCGGGCTGTGTGTTTTACGCCATGGGGCCCATATCTTTTATAGTGGGGGCATTTAAATTTAATACTGACGTGGCCTGGTGAGCAGCTAAAGCGTTCAGTTAATCCGAATTCCCACAAAGGGCAGTTCTATAGAAAATTAGAATCAATCTCACTTGCAACTGCACTTCAGTAAGTTCTTCAGGTTTACTTTTGTAGAGGATATGATGTGCTTGGGTATTCAACATTTCAGTCACCATTGGCCATGGAACATGAGTGCATACAGCTTCTATACATCATCCCCCCGGCCCCTATCCCCTCACCCAAAACACAGTAACACAGAGACGAGGTAAAAACCATGCGACAATTTCATCAATTGGGATATATAGTCTGTTCAAGGAGGAGGTAATCAATTAAGTTGCATAATCACAAGTAAATGCAAAATCTGAAGCAATTCTATTCAATTTAAATTCCTAGTAAAATGACTATAAGACCATCTTTACTTTAATTTAATTAAATGAGAACGTCCGAGGCAAAGATGTTGAAGTGGATAAATTGTAAAACATACAAGTTAGAAGTATCTATCTTCACCAGATTTTCAGCTTAAATGTTTCGATTAATGCAGTATATATTATGTGAATAGAAAAACACAGCCTAAGAAAAAGACCAAGAAGCATATAAATTGTAGTGAGGAAGACTATGCCCCAACCGGCCAACCCAACTTGAGCCAATAATATTGCTCACCACCCAAAACTTGGGCTAGGTGAATGTCAACGAGGCCTTGGGTTGACGGCTTCCCCTGCTGCAGTTGGTTTTCGACCCTTGATTTTGGACACTGAAGACTTAGAAACTTGATGCAGTTGATTTCTACTTATTTGCGAAAACCTTTTACAAAATTCATTTGGCTGTCTGTTTGCGGTGCAAACGTCAGTTATGCATAAGATACTTAAATGTACTCTGGTTCAATTTTGTAAGCGTTTGGTAAGCATACATTTGTGTACTGATAATGGCAGTTATCTCAACTCCAAGAAATGTTTGTTTTCACAATTGATACAGAGTTTGTATCAATTTTTTGGATACAAACTTTGCAACCATAGTTGGTTAATGTAAAAAAGGTGGATTTCAGTCTTGAAATCCGTGTTTGTACTCATTACAACCAAAAACTGTTTGATTGGAATACAAAGCTTATCCATGCAAAAATAAGCCAGATTGTATTCATAAACGGGCCAGGGGAATGTTTGATTGGTATATATTTGTTTTTGCACTGGAAACAAATGCAGCCTTAATTGAAACCTACATTAAAATCAATAAAGGGGCCTCCTCAAGTCTGGCGTAAAAGACACATGAGCTAATAATAATGGATTTAACATCCAAACAAATGATAGGTGGGAAGATGTGCTTAATTTTTAATAGAGGAGCTGAGTATCTGACAAAAAAGATGCTAGTTTATACTTTATACATAGGGGGCTCCATATCCTCTTCTATAATGAGTATTCCATGCTGTGTACATATCATGCTTTTCATATACAAACAGTCCTCGCATATAATACATTTCTCATTTACATCTATACATAACTCCACACCTTGATAAGACTCCTCTCAGCCTTGTTAATTTGATAAGGGGAGAGAGGGGGATGCCTCTTCATATAGCCTAGTTCTCAGCTTCTATAATTTGTTTGAATTTCTTCCTTCTAATCTAACCTGCTGAATTCTCTGGCGTAGTCTTCGCCTGTGATCATGAATCTTCCAAAGGCCATGTCCCAATATGACCGCAGAGTATATTCCATGTGTGATAATGGGAGCTAGAATGTTGTCTGTCTGCATGAGTTGAAAAAAGGAAACGACTCCATCTCAGTTTCTTAACAAAGGATTTGAAATATTTTCCAAAGATATTTGATGTGAAAGCAACTGAAACTGAAATTACCTGAATCCATTCAAACCCAAGGTAGAGGGCTAATAGACCTTCCAGGAGAGGAGAGTATATCTTCTTCATTTGCCTTCTTTCATACCAGGCTGCACAGTTAACATCCGGCACAAGAAAAATGGTTCAAATGGAATGCTAGCTGTTACAAAATTCGATCTTTCAAGTGGAATCTAATAAGTTAAATCATCAAGAAGACACCAGACATGAGTGACAGTACATGGGAACTTGTAAAAACCAAATTTGGCACAAAAGAGTAAGGAAAAATGGTGGTTGCCCAGAATCTGTTGAATGGCTTAAATGGGAAATTTCTATTACCTACATTTCCCAGGTACTATTTTTCTCATTTGTCCTTAAGGTTGCTAGATACAGGTATTGACACAGAAATGGATACAGGAAAAAGGGATATAACTTTCAATTTCCTAAAATCCTTGACACGGTAGGCATGTATAGGTATCCAAGTATCTAGACCTTTCCATGAAGCAGAAAGCTAGCTAATAATTTCAGAGATAACCTCTATTTTCATGTCAACAAACAGTCCCAAATCCATTACAACACCCCACAACTTTTTCCTAGGACCAAAGCAATAATATTTTGCAGAGTTAACAGCCTATCTGCATTCATTGAATGATGGGTCTCATAACCTGGATATTATGCGCGTATCTAGTAATTTGTTTGTAAGCTGCTCAAGTTTAGTGATCATCCTCAATACCTCGTACTCTGAGTGCAATTCACAAAAGAAAAGGTGGTACATATAGGCTTCAGGTTCTAGGATAAAGGACAAACCTGCAAAGAGTTTCTTCAGATCTTCACGAGCAGAGCGAGACTGTAAGACTGGTGCAACTACATAAGTGGGATCTGAAAAGACAATTGAAACAAATCTATGAATCAAAACAAGAACAGGGAGTGAAGGAAACCAGTGAAAAAACATTGATTACAACAGAGAAGGAAAATAACCTTTTGGGGAGGCAGCCACATAATACAATGATCCTGTAAGTACAGCTGTAAGAACAGCTGCAAATGCTTGAGCAAATGGAACAAATGGAGGAAGAACACCAGTCTGCACAGGTTTTAGAAAATTAAAACGGAACAAAACAGCAGCAATCTCAGTACAAGGAAGATACAGGTTAAAGGAGTTCCCCATACCAGAGATGCAATTCCTCGAGCATCAATTACCAGGTCGGTGCCTCTTAGAAAAATATCAGCCAATGCTCCCTACATGTAAAGGATTAGATCAGAAATGTCTGTTCCTAAACGTAAGAAGATTTCTCTAGTAGAAACTTTTCTCTTTCATGATCTCTAATCTGTAGAAATCTATGTATGGAAACAGGGAACATAATTAAAGTAAAGCTTTCAAAGTATGGTAAGCTTCCTGGTTTAACCATGCTAAAAATCCATCAACCTAACTCATGACTTAACCAACTAAACCCATCAAGGTAAAGCATGAACTAGCCGTGCCTAGAAGATGCCTCAACTCAAGTGGGTTTTCATGGCTCTGCTTACATTAGAAATCAGAAATGAATCACTGAAGAAACAAGATACATTAATAAACTTTGCACACATCAGAGTCCTATCAACTTCTCCATGATGGAGCTTTTTATTGAGAAGAAACACAAACTATTTGAAACTCATTAGAAATGTATAAATTAACAATGAAACTTTAAAAGGTCAGGTTAGTCATATATATGGGAGCTTACCTGAACAGCAGCACGGTAGAAAAGCTCCTCCCCTACTGAGCTTGCAGCAACAATGAGTATAAACTGCAAAAGAATATGATCATTAGATCTATTTCACAGTTTCTGCAATACATAGAATAAGGAGATAATATCAGCTGATATATTACCTGCCAAGGCGACATCCCATAGAAGAAGCTCCGTAGCTCCTCATCCTCTACATCTCTGATGGCACGAGCATGAGGTGATACTTTCACAACTTCATCCTGAAAAATTAGGTAATCTTGTCTGAATGCATTCCAGACTCAAACAACAATCAACTTACTAAGAAAACTGCATAATCAACTTATATGGAAATTTTTTATGTCGATGATAAGAAAACAACATACATCCAGTATAAAGAGAAGGGCCATGATTGGAGGAGCTGCATATCCAAGTCCTTCTAAAATAGCATCCAGTGATGGATGAAAACCTCCCATGCAATCAATTCCAGTAACTGAACATATAAATCTTCCTGCTAGAGCCATTGCACCATATATGCCTGAATTTTGCCAAACAAGAGCTTGTTAATTAATATGAAGAAATTTTGAAAACAGAATATATAAGTTTATTGGAATTAGACAAATATAGTTTGGATCTAATCCTTCTATAAGATTAAAGGAGGCCAGAAATTGGTAGAGCCAGGAAATCTGTTGTTTCACTTCACAGTCCAACCAGCAAAGCAATAGGAAGGAACTGCAGGATCAGTAGTAACACTGAAAACTAGCTAAAACCAACTCAACGTTGTAACATATATAATGTTAGAGGAAAAGTAGGAATCACTCGAAGGAAACATGTAAAAAGCAATAAACAAGAATCTACTAGGAACAAAGTCAATTGGATCTAATTTTGTGGATCGATAAACTCACCAATTCCATAGCTTAGCCTCACAATAGCACCCAATTTCTCCCAAACAGGGAACTCTGCATCGTCAAAGCTCTGATTAAAGGTCGTGACCTCCATGGCTGGTCCTGCAAATCCTCTCCTCTCTCCCTCCCGCGTACCCTCAATCCTTTCACTGCTACTCCCCTCTGCCGAAGCCTTAACGCATGGGCCCGAAACCCGAAACCCATCGAAGCTCCTTCTCCTCCTCACCTGCAGCTCACTGAACTTGGGGTCCAAGCAACCACCTCGGCCCGCAGGAGAAGAGCAAGAAGCAGAAAACGAAAGAAGAGAAGGACTCCGCACTCTAGAAATCAACGAAAATTCCATAACCAATCTCTTCCTAAAACTAGTTCATATTGAATCCATTAAAGTCGAAATCCCAATGAAAAGATCTTCATTAATCCACCGTGGTGGTGCACTTCTGTCATCGTGTTCGTGAGCAAAGTGTAAACACCCTCGTCCACTCGTTTCTTAAATACGTAGCAGATCAGAGATTCTCTGGGCATGGAGCTAGGTTGGGAAGACTTTAGAAGTCGTCGATCACGTCTGATGTGTCCGACTGATCCTTGATGGACGGTACGGATTCCGTGTAGGGAAGAAAATGGATTTCCAGATCAGGCGAAGTTCTGGCTTCTGGGAGTTGCGATTGGGTGGTGGATATTCACTTTTCCAGTGGATGATGGTGCCTGGAGTTTGGACGTATTTAGATATCTGGTATATCCAATGAGGGAAGGCCACGTGGAGAAAAGATAATGCAGGTAGACAACGCCCACGATTTTATAAAGGTTAACTAAATGACATGTGGCAAATAGTGTTTGCCTGTTTGGGAAAGAATGAAAGATGACAATTGACAGCTGACCGCTGACGACGAAGCTAGTTTCCTCTAATAGTTTTGCTTGTTTGTTGGGATTCCGGAAATCAAAGTCAAACTTTAAATTTCACGTGCTTAATCCTATCAATTTGGACCGTCCGATTGGACTCTTGTTTCATTATTCTTTGCCGCTGTATTTCTAGACGTGGGTAAAGAAACAGGGGGCGAACGTGTGTATTCATTTTCTTGGGTAAAAACCGTAAAATACAAAAATCTCACATGAAGTTTCTGACAATCATAAAAACCTCCCATTTCATTTTAACAAATGTCTCTCTGAATTTTTGAGAAACTTAACAAAAACCTCCTTTTGTCACTGTTCCAGACGGAAAACATTAGATTGATGCACCAATTTTTTCTAAATACCCATTTTACCCTTTTATAAATAATTTTACATACAAAATTACTGAAATATGCTTTTTTGTTGAGTTAAAAATGAGATTATTTCAGTAATTTTGTATGTAAAATAATTTATAAAAGGGTAGAATGGGTATTTGGAAAAACTGGTGCATCAATCTAATGTTTTCCGTTTGAAACAATGACGGAAGGGAGGTTTTTGCTGAATTTCTCAAAAGTTCAGGGGAGGCATTTGTTAAAATGAAACTATAGGGAAGGTTTTTATGATTGTCAGAAACTTCAGAGGAGGTTTTTGTATTTTACCTTTTTTTTTTAAGTCTGAATCACTTGCCAACTGAAAAAAGCCGTATCAATACCCTTCCAACATGATCTGCATATCTCATATATGACTGGTTTCACACTCGAGTTGAAATCTTCTGCCAATAAACATGTTCCAACCCTAATCAGCCCCCCATAAGACTATGCCCCATAATATCCCATAATACATTCTCACTATGTATTGGAAACATCTTTGGATGATAATATCAGAAATGATGATGTCATCATTGAGATATGATCTCACATCACATCTCATACACAACAGGTTCAACTTTATGGTGGGTCCTAGTCTCATGATGAGATGTGGGTTGTAAGATTCATGTTAGTAGAGGGTTGGAATATATTTTATTGGCATATGATCCGGACTCCTCACACCCTCACTTTTATGATGGATCCCACTCTCATAATGAGATTGAATGTGTGAGATATGTTGGGAGGGTGTTAGAACATCTTGTGTTGATAGGTGATCCAACTCTTTGGTTTGGGCTGTTTTAGGGAGATCAGTTATTGGGTCAAAGCATTTTAACATGATTGGTCAGTTTGAGTTTGGATTTCCTACGTACATCCCCACCTCACAGCAAGTTGCAACCGTACAACGGAAACATCTCCCATATTTGTTTGTTTTCGTTTGGCGATGGAAAGATGTTGCCAATATACGGTTATAAGTGGTGTGGGGACCAATCTAATTCTTTAGGGGAGGAAATCCTCTTTTCAAGGAGGGAAATTAGAAAATATAGCCCCATAAGAAAAAATATGTTAGGGGAAAAAGCTTTGACCAATCAAAACCCATTAATAACTAGTAATGGTTGCTTTCTGTGCACTCTTTTATTCTTCCAAGATAAATAAGTCTTCCTTGTTCAATAAATGTTTGTGATAGTGATCAACATGATATACTTAATACTTGGAACCAAGCCCATGGTTTGATTGGTAGCAAGTTCATGAATTCACGTTTTCTTATTCAATTACAAAAATAGATAACCCATACCCATTTGTGTGACTATATGGAATTTTCATGACTGACCAAATAAAACATGGATGACCCATACCCATTTGCAGAAGATTCTAGCTCTCCCATCTTGTTTTAAAGCCGGGTAGAGAGGCTGAACCGTTTTTCCATACGATTGGCGGCTTAATTGTTTGAGGCAACGGCTTGATCGATGATTTAAAAAAATACAAAAATATAATCTAAGGTCAGATAGGTTAATCATTCCATCGACGGATTACTGATTGGGTCAATGGTTTATAATCGTTGATCCGAATCAAAATTGTAATTGGATCACTACACCGACCGGCTGGGCCGCGCTGGGTTAATGGTGGATTCATTGTGTGATTTAGTTGCAGGGCAAACAAAAATGATCTCTCTTTTTAGTTTCTAACTTAACTCAATTGATAAGGTATCTAATTTAGAAGCAAAAATAAAATAAAATTAAATAAAAAAGGTAAAGCTCTAATTTATTGCAGTGGAGGTCTGGGGTTAGGGCTATAAATAGGGTCGTCCAATTTGAAGAATTTTAATTATTCAGGCTCAGTTTGAAAACAATATAAATACAAATATATACAGTATAAATATCTACAAAATAATTGGTTTTGTATTCTATATATTTGTATTTCCACTCCTTCCATACTAAGCCTTAGGAACTGAATCCATTGAAAATTTAATAATTTTCCAATCCAATCTGACCCAAGTTGTAGTCTTATTTGAGATCTATTTTCCACCTAAAGCCGAAAATAAACTTTGGCTCTCGCGTTTGGATAAGTTTTTGCTTTGAATCTCTAAGCTGTAGGAAATAAAAATGAACCTAAAAATGTTTTAGGTGTTTGGTAAGAGTAGATTTAAAAAACTTAAAAATATAAAACCAAGGGGGTTTGAAAGTCACAAATCCTAAAATTTATTCAAACGCAACCTAACTTATGACATGTTATATTAAAGCCCCTAGGCAAAACATTACATTAAGACTTTCATGAGTACAAGTATTAGAAATTGGGGAGAAACCGACCATGTAACTGGCCTAGAGATAGATACCACATGGTTAGCAAAATAGTTGGCAATAATGAATGAAGGAGATAAAAATTAAGATGCTTAAAATCATGAAACAAGTTCTTGCAACCAGCAGCAATATGATGTATATATTTCCTAACGAAATCAATTTTAGACAAAGGATCAAAATTTTGATACGATACACTCCGTATTGAGCGTATCTTACAATATCATTAAGGTCTCGATACATCTATTTACAGGTGTTTCGAGACCCGTTTTGTTTTAATAAAAAAACATGTATAAAAACCTTCCCAATAACCAAATTTTTTTTTAAAAAAAAGAAACCTAAAAAATATAAAATCACACTTCAGACCCAATCCTAGCAAAGAGAATACCTTCCTTGAAAATTAAATCTTCAATTACTTCATGTGGATTTGATGCAGCATTAATATATAGCATGACGCATATGAAATTCACACCCAAAGAGTTCCTTACTACTATTCCAATGCCACAACCAATTTGATTCGATGCACCATCTACATTCACTTTCAATGTAACATTGATGGTGTTGGAAGACTCCATGTTATATTATGACTCGTTACATGCATGTCAAGCCAATGTAAATGTATAACAGTAGTCCTAGTCAAGCTTAAGCTGAATTCCCAAAAAGTGAGTTAAAGCATTAATTATAACCCAAGTTGGGTTGTAAGGACTCCCCTTGCATTACCTTTTTTTATAACGTGCCTTCCATGCATATTGTTAAACCATGTGACATAACATGCACTTGTACGTCACACACACTCTCTAACAATCTTGATATACGAGTCCCGTAACAAACCACTTCCATTGCATGATTCAATATATACTTAGCAACTCTTGCAAGTCTTTGAGAGTGTGTTCATTCATTCAATCGAACCAGGTCTAATATGGTATTAGAATCATATTAGCCTTACAATCTCAATTTTGCATCTTGTTCTTGATTGATGCTTTTGTCCATAGCAACTTTTTTTTTCATAAAAAAAAATTGAAGTCAATAGAAACTTCAAATTCCACTTCTATTAGCCAAACCTTGATTCTTCTCTTGGATGGGAATAGCAACTTCTTGTTAAACAATGTATGCCCTTAGATCTAATGACATTGATGTACACAGACTTTCATATATGAATAATATAATTAAGTATATTGTTGTTTTCAGATTGGTGTGTTTGTGCAAATTACTCCTTAAATTGGACAGTTATGAAACTTACGTTAGTTTAAAATGTTCTCAACCATTATATAAGTTTAAAAAGTTTATCCCAACAAGGTTGACACTGGTGCGATGCTGAATTGGTGGAGCAGCTTGTCTCAACTACTAGGTTGAGACCCCAAACTCAACCAATGGTGTTTGAAAGAAGCACTAAACCTAAACCAATTTTCAGTTATGCCTTGAACCTTGGAGAGAAATGGGCAAAACTAGAAAGTTGCATTTAATCCCAAAATTGATTATGTTGTTACACTATATCTTAGATTGAGTTGCTTTTGATATGCCAACTAGTGAGATCCATCAAAGGTCAAATACTTGAGCATTAAGAGTAATTTAGAAAATTATTTGAGTAGGTAATTATGTGATAGGACCGGTCTCTTTGTCAAACAAAATGAATATCAGGGTTTACACTCTCTCTGATGGAAACCTAAAATTGCCAATAGTGGATTTCAACAGTATTCGAAATCAAATTTACAAAATGTATTTACACATATATTATGTCATTTTCTAAAAAATGTTTGCAAAAGATTTTAATTCCATGATCCATTTGATCAGAGGGTGTGACACTACATTTTGTAGTTAGGGAAGAGATCATTCCTTATGAGCAATGTTTTAATTATTAACGGTTGAGAGGTTAAGGTCAAGAGACCATTAGATGATTGATAACCTCATGGGATTTATCTTACATAA